CAAGGAAAATGGAAGAACAAGGCTGTGCCACTGATGGCAACTTTCTTAAGTCACTTGAGCCTGAAGGAACTCTCAGTAAAAGCTAGGACAGTTGAGGTCTTCTGTTTGCTGCTTTCTACTCAAGGTGAAAACCTTTGTGTCTCTGAGGGTTCTCTGTATGCAGGAAAGGCCTGGTGGGTTGATTTTGTTGAGAGCTGTCAGAACCTGGCTTGAAACTTATAAGATCCTATTTTATCTAGGATATGAGACCCACCATCCAAATCCCCATCCTCTTTCCAGGGATGGGAATGATTTAGAAGGAACATCCTTGCTGTGCTCCCTATAATGCATAAATCCAAAGGACTGAAGCTACTCATTCAAGACTGAGCATAAGACCTGGTAGAGAACTGGAGAATAATACAGTGGGCTGTGAGACTGTAGGAGATTCTGTGTATGTTCAGAAAAACAGTATAATCCAGTACAAAGTAGTACAATTCTTAAACTTTTAAAGTTTGTGATAGGTCCACTTCAAAATCTTAGAAAAGTTAAGTGTCCTCTCCTTATATATAAATACTAGAGGCCCAGTGCATGGAAATTCATACACTTGGGGGGTCTCTCAGCCTGGCATGTGCCCTCTCGCAGTCTGAGATCCCTCAGGGGATGTCCACCGTTAGGTGGACATCCTTAGCACTGCCGCAGAGGTGGAATAGGCTCCCGCACTGCTGCTGTGCTGGCCAGCCATGAACCAGCTTCTGGCTGCAGCGCTCCCTCTGTGGAAGTGCACTGACCACCAGGTGGCAGCTCCTGCATTGAGCATCTACCTCCTGGTGGTCAGTGTGTGTCATAGCGAATGGTCATTCTTGGTCATTCTGCCTTTAGGGTCAATTTGCATATTACCCTTTTATTACATAGGATACACAGATTTTCACTTAATTTTCAAAGCTGTAAGGAATTTAATACCTTCTATAATACATCTCCATGATTGCAACATCATGAATTTCTTTTTATACATCTGAAAAGCAATATGCAGAACAAAGAGAAAAAAGAGAAATAGTATAATAGCTCATTAGTCTCTTAGCATTGGGATTATTTTAATTTATTGTTACTTAAATTATTTTTCACAGCTTAATTTTGTTTTAGAAACATTAGTCTAACTTAAAAACAGAAGGATAAAGTATAGCTTGCACATGTGGCAAAGGGGAATAACATATATGCATCCAATTATTTGAATAGAGATGTGGTGTGGTAATTTTGATGATAATGACAAGCATATTTTCAAATGTAAACAAGATCAACAAGCAAACAAAGAAATATGACACCATGACTAAGAAACCATGGGTTAATATTATAAGAATAACCTGAAACAGATTACAAAACAAGTGGGTTGATATAAAAACAAGCTTTAAATGGAGTTGCAGGGAATATGAAAATTTAAAAAGAGACATGCCATTTGAAAAAGAACTAAATATGACTTCTAAAATTGAAAAATGTTATAAGCAAAGTTAACGTCATAGTGGATAAAATTAACAGATTAGACAAAGATTAAAAGAAAATTTGTAATGTGTAGTAGCTCAGAAAAAGTTGTCAAGAATAAAGAACAGAGAGCCACAAAGACAAAAATATATTAAATAGCCCAATTAGAAGGTTGAATATAAGTATAATTGGAGTTCTAGAAGAAAAACGAAAGAATCGGAAAAGGGGTAATGAAATAGTGGCTGAGATTTTTTTCTCTCCAAAAGTGATGAAAAACATCCAATTACAGGTTTAAGAGGATAAATAAAATTTAAGTACAATAGTAACAAAAAATTGCATACCTAGAAATCAATGCCATAGGCACATGGTAGAAATCTTTTTTTTTTTTAAATATATTTTATTGATTTTTTACAGAGCGGAAGGGAGAGGGATAGAGAGTTAGAAACATCTATGAGAGAGAAACATCGATCAGCTGCCTCCTGCACACTCCCTAATGGGGATGTGCCCTCAACCAAAGTACATGCTCTTGACTGGAAATGAACCTGGGCCCCTTCAGACCCCAAGCCAATGCTCTATCCATTGAGCCAAACTGGTTAGGGCCACCTGGCAGAAGTCTTAAGAAAGAGAGATAATGAAAAAGAAAGAGGACTTTCAACTGAATGGTGATTAAAGGCTGAATTCTCAATAGCAATAATGAGGAAAGGCCAGAAAGAAACAAGTTCATATCCTTTAGGCTTTTTCAGACACATTTTATAAATTGATTAGTAATGATATAGAAGTTATGGGTAGCTGATGAACTGATATGACACCTTGCCAACAAATGAAGATTATATACTTTATAAGCACATGTACAATATTTACAAAATATTAACCATAGATTAGGCCATAGGTTAGGTCTTAACAAGTGTTTAAAGGATTAAAATTACACATCATTTATTGTAGGCCATAATGAATTTAAGCTAGAAATGCAGAAAATATGGTTAGAAAATCCACATATATATGAAAAACAGGAGCAATTCCTGCGGGTAGAGGTGGTGGGGTGGTGCTGGCAGAGCTGGTGGTGTTGGGGAGGGCCCTTTGCTTGCCTGTGGATGTGGTGGAGGATGTCCTGGATTTATGAGCAACAAGCAAGGCCATGCTTGTTGGTTTGATGTTGCTGGAATTCTGTTCCAAGGTTTTTGAATATTTATTCCTGTGTTTGCAGTTGATCTGAGCCTATGGTTAGTTTCTGAATTCTTCATTTTTTTCTGCAATAATTATCACTAACAGAAATGTGAGATTAGTTTCTGATCTTCATCTATGTTTGAACTCTGGGTCCACCCCACTGCAGTGCCACATGAGCTCTGGATCATGCTGTTTGATTTTCTTACAGAACACTGTCCTGGCTGAGGTCACACCAGAGGGCAAGACCCAGTCTGCTCCCCTCTATTTTTAAAACTAAAGAAATAGAATGTTAAATAAATCATGAGTCGAAGTCTAAGTCATAATGGAAATCAAAAGTGAGTCAAAATGATTAATAATTATGAAAATAATTTATAGAAAAATGTGTCAGTTATGTATAAAGATGAAGCCTCTCTTAAACACTAGAGGCTCAGTGCATGAATTCATGCATGGATGTGGTTCCTCGGCCTGGCTGGTGATCAAGGCCTATTGGAGGGCCAGCTGGCTGAGGGGAGGGACCCTGGGAAGTTGACCACCAGGAGGAGGGACAGCGGGAGGTTGACTGGCCAGCCAGGGGAAGGGGTCGTGGGAGGTTGGCCAGCCAGCCATGGGGGAGGGGCCACAGGAGGTTGGCTAGCTGGCTGGGGGTGGGGGGTGGGGCTGCAGGAGGTTGGCTGGCCAGGGGGAGGGACTAGAGAAGGTTGACTGTGGGAGTGCATTGACCACTAGGGGGCAGCTCCTGCATTGAGTGTCTTCCCCCTTGTGGTCAGTGTGTGTCATAGCGACTGGCTGACTGGTCGCCCCGGTCGTTCGGGTTGTTGGGTTGTAAAGGTTGCTTAGGCATACACACACTAGCGGCCCGGTGGACAAAAATTTGTGCACTCGGGGGGGTCCCTCAGCCCGGCCTATGCCCTCTTGCAGTGTGGGACCCCTCAGAAGATGTCCACCCAGTGGGGACCCTCACCCCATGGAGGTTTGGCCAGCCTGGGTGAGGGGCTGATGGCTGTTTTCAGGCTGGCCACAC